ACGGAGTTGAAAGCCGATTTGAATAGATTAAATTGTGAACAAGTTGAATATAAGAATATATGATTAAGGAAGATACAGATTGATTAAAAATAAAGAGACTGATATAAAGTAACTTATGAGAATATAAAGAAGAAAACTTGGTTATAGATAATGATGTAATGTTAGAAAGCTGTATTTGTGACAATGGATATGACTGATTTAAAATGTAAAACACCTGGAACCACACTGTTCTCTCAAAGATGTATTTAAATAATTAAAAAAATAAAAACTTTTATACAAAAAAAGAAAAGAAAAAGCATCTTTGGGACAACCATAGCTTGGATGACTGAGAATCTCCATAGACATTTCTATTAAATAGATTTTTAAAGGAACATAAAGTACAAATTAATATAAAATAAATAAAAAGGGAAAAATAAATAAAAAAGGAAGCTAAGGGTGCAAGAAAGGGAAAAAAGTAAAAAAAGAAAAGAAAGGGGAAAAAAAGATACTTAGAAGTAACTTCTGATCATCTTTACAACCATTATAAATATAAGAATTAATTTAGCTCTCTCTCTGTATTTACAAGATAACTCTATTCTTCCTGTCTATATAGCCATCAAAACTGCACATCCTAAATTCATTATTTTGTCGCATTTTATGCAAAAAGTCCATAAGGGGTTTCTAGTCAGCAATAAACATGTTGTCTTTTCTCTTATCAAAGAAGTCAAATTTGCCATTTCAGCATCAATGATACACTCAATTGGAATGTGGAACTAAATTGCAAAGGGAGTTTTATCAGTTGCAAATTGATAAAATCAAACATTTTTCTAACTTTAAAAAAATCTCAGACTTTTTTGGCAGATGAACAACAAACCCATAAGGCCTAGTTTATATACTAATCCAGGGTATAATGTGATTGAGATTAGTTTTGTTGTGCCTCTCTTGCTTGTTCAAAAATTTTTGTCCTATTTAGTACACATCATGGATTGAACTATAGGTGAGCAGGATGTATAGATTTAATAGAAAAATGGGGGAGGACAGAGAAATATTTTTATAATTGATTGTAATTGAGTGTTGGTCACTGAGTATTGATTCTGTGTGAACGTAGTAAACAAGTTACTTTCTAAAGTTGAAAACAATCAAACTATGTAAAAAAAATTACTACTAGATTTGCTGCTCTCTTTATTTCCCCTCTAGTGGCAGAATATGATTCTTGCTATTGAAATATTTGGGTTTTTTTTTCTGTGAACTAGAGCTAGTTGAGATGCATTTGGTAAATTAACAAATCTGAATATGGCATAATTGCAGATGAACATTCAGATTAAATTCCTGTCTGGAAATTACTATGTCAAGATGTCCTCTAGATGGCACTTTCTAACTCTGGTAAAATTACTTTTGAGGATCTGTGTTATTAACAGTCTTTTAAAAGGCAGTATCTGCAAAGGTTTCTTTTAGATAGCTGAAGAAGCGAACTAAAGATTCAGGTCTGAGCACACATTGTCCAGAATATCTTGGGATTTTCAAACCAAAAATAGAAGTTTAACTAGAATGTATCTTGTAGATCAGGTGTATCCAACCTTGGCAATTCTAAGTCAACAACTATGGACCTCAATTTCCCCAGCCAGCCATGTGACTGGCAAATTTTGAGATCTGAAGTCAACAAGTCTGAAAGTTGAAAGTTAGAATTAACAGAGGTGCTAAGGCAGTGATGGCTAACCTTTTTGTCATCGTGTGCCAAAAGTATGTGAGCGTGCATGCGTGCACACACATGTCTGCACCCATAATGCAATGCACACACGTCCCCCCACTCCCCCATCCCCCTGTGCATGCGCACACATCTGCAACATACGCCCCAACCCCCGTGCATGAGTGGTAGATACCCAAAAATCAGCTGGCTGGTGGGAGGCGTGTGCACATGCACAGTGGAACTGAGCTGGGGCAACGGCTTGCGTGCCCGCAGAGATGGCTCTGCATGCCACTTCCAGCAAGTGCGCCATCGGTTTGCCATCACGGTGCTAAGGAATATAACATGATTGCAGATTTACTGGGAAAATGGCAGGCACATCCTATACCTGAACTGACATTTACAAGAAGAGTTGACACAAATGAGAAGGATGTTAAAGGATGATAAATATTTTTTTAAAAATTCAAATATAAAGCTGCTGGCTTTCCAACAAAAACATAAATGCTTGAGGACAGAATAGTGGCCAATCAGAAAACTGTAGGGTTGGGAGGGAGCTTAGGTGGCAATCCTCAGTGAAAGATTGACCAGAGCAGTATTTCTTAATATTGACAACTTTAAATATGTGGACTCCAATTCCCAGAATTCCCCAGCCAGCTCTTCTGGAAGTTGCCAAGGTTGAGAAACACTGAATCAGAGCATCACTAGCATCACTATCAATCTGTTTTGAAGATCTCTCATGAAGAAGAACTAACCATGTTGCAGCCTCTTCCTCTGGCTGATAACTGATCTAGTCAGGTAATTCCTCCCCTTTGGTTTAGTTTTGGCCCCATCCCTGGGACAACAGACAATGATGATCACTCCATCTTCCATCTGACAACTTCAGAGTTAGTTAAAGATTGTTACCATAGCTACCCACAACTTTAAGTTGTGTGGACTTCAACTCCCAGAACTTCTCAGCTGACATGCTCACTGGGAAACTCTGGGAGTTGAAGCCCACACAGCTTAAAGTTGACAGAATTCCAAACATTGACTTAGAGCAAGGGTGTCAAACTTGCAGCGTCACATCATCATGTGACATATCATGACTTTTCGCCCTTCGCTAAACTGGGGGTGGGCATGGCCAGTATGTGACACATCTGGCCTGCAGGCCACAAGTTTGACATCCCTGACTTAGAGGAACAGGAGATGGGGGAATCACATTTGGTCTCCAAGTAGCACATCAGGGATTGTGCTTCAAAACAGGAAGACCTGGATAAAGAAGGATGTAATTTAAAATTAAAAGCCAGGTTTGATTTAATTTACATCTAATTAAAATTGACTCAAACTATTGGTTAATATAATACCTCTCTTTTCCAGATTGTGTTTACTTGTTACACAAAATAAATCTTGTTGGGAGAAATTGATATGACTGTAGAGTACAGTTGGGTTAAAGTTTGAATTGCTAAAGATACTGTACTTAAAACATTACTTAAAACAGCAACTAAGTAAACATGTGCCGTACAGTTTTCATTGGATTAATCCAGATTGTAACAATTTTGAATAACTCAATTGCACAAGTCCTGAAATGTATATGAGCTTTTGGCCTTATTGTGATGCTGCATAACCTTCTCACTAACAGAGGCCTTCAGATCTCCACAGTGACCTTTAAAGGCCATCTGACATGAGGCAGAATTAATTGTGTTATAGCCACTGATGTATTGTGCTGATGTTTGTGCATCTCTCAGGAAAGGGGATGTCATAACTTGCTTTGCTCATTCATCCCAGTGTCTCATTAGCACAACAATTAGATTTTTTTTATCTGCAGTTCCAAAGTATTCTTTCTTGTCTGGCTCTTTGGATGAAATGAAATCTGCCTGCAACTGTGACTCTTACTAGAGAAGACAACAACTATCTTTCACTTAAATCAAAGGTCAGGAAGAGTAACTGCTCAACAGAAGACCGCATTCACTCTCCTGCAAAATGGCATCACTGTTGGTCATTACAACCTCCTAGTTTCTCACCAGTTCTATTATGATAAATAAAAATTTAAAAATCTCAAATCTTCCCAAAAGAAGCATGGCTGCTCATTTAATTTCATCCCTGGGAAAAAGTATACTGCACTGCAAATTGATGCAGATCTTGCTTGCTTCAAATTTAAAAAGAGAGAAAAAAAAGAAACAAAATCACAGAATCTTGGGGAAAATATAATTTATTTTGCAGCTGGCAATTTGTGGATTCCTTCTGCAACTCTCATTGTTTCATACACATTTGAAAAGGCAAATACAAAGACATATTTTGCAAGGCGTGCAAATGTGAGAACAGCTTGTATAGTGGAAAACATAATGGCATCAGTTTATCTCAAAGTATACAGTAGGGCATTTGAAAAAACAATGTCAATGTGAGTGATTTGCCTGTTTTGTGTGTTTGTGTACAATATTACATCTGGTACTATGTTTAGAGAAATACAAAGGAACAGAGGTGGTATTCAGCAGGTTCTGACCAGTTCTGGAGAACCGGTAATGGAAATTTTGAGTACTTCAGAGAACCGGCAAATACCACCTCTTACAGTATCTTTCCCCTGCCACGCCCACCAAGCCATGCCCACAGAAGCGGTAGTTTAAAAAAATTGAATCCCACCACTGCATAAGAACATACTATACGTACTAAAGAACTGATTTCATCACTGTGAACAACTTTATTTTAAATGCCAATATGATACAGAACAATGCAGCTAAAGAGATATTTTCGGTTTTATTATTAAATTAAACACTCTGGGCTGAGGATAACCACCACACAATTGAATCTACACTCTGAAGAAAAACCTGAATTTGATTGACAGTGATAGATATATAAAATCAATGGACATTTTGATGTAAAATCAGACACATTACTTTTTATCTTATATTAAAAGCAAAGTAAATAAACCCAAAATAATA